CATTAGTTGCCCACCTTCCCCTATAAAGGCATACTTTGCCGGTAGCTAAAATCTTAAGTGGACACCCAAATGACAGTAACATAATGGCTCAAAACTTGTGAAAATGTGATAATAATGCCCCTTTTTTTTTATGGGAATCCAATATATAGGTTGTAAACTTAATTTTCAAATTTTTTTTTTTCAAAAAATAATTTTTTAAATTGTGATTAATAGGAAAATAGGGGAATCGTGTCGGTGGTTGTTTTCCCAGAGCCCATCAGACCAGCATTTGAACGTCACTTTTTATAATAACAGAAAATAAATTTGCAATGACAAAATTAATGCTAGCTGGGAACTAACCAACAAGGTAAATGCATCGCCTGCTCAAATATTGTTCTACTTCAGCTGCCTTGTTCTGCAATTATGATTAAGTTTTACTTAGATGACATCCATAATGTCCAATATAATACAATAATTCACCAAAACTTATCTTTATAATCTAATGATAGGAAAATTTGGTAAACTCACCATCAAAATCAAGGACTCGTCTAAAGAAGAAGGAAAACTAGTTGTCTTTAGCACGGATGTTGTATATGAACACAAATTTAAGTTTAATAAATATTTTAAAACAATTAATGGAGTTGATGTAGCCATGATGAGATTATTAAAAAGATGACAGATGCCAAAGCACTATAGAACCCAAAATCTCTTACAAGCTAGATCGCTAGATTATCAAGAAGGGTTATTGTATTGGTAGTCATTGTAAGAGTTAGGGGTGCTTATCGCACGAGCCAAGACTGAACCCTCTTAGGCTCAGCTCGGCTCGTTTACTTTTGACACAGGCTCGGCTCAGCTCGTCGAGCCTTAACTTCACGAGCTCGGCTCGAGTTCGTTAAGAAAACCAAGGCTCGAGTTCAGCTCGTTATTGGGTTCAAGCTCGTTTAAGAACCATCATATGCACGAGATTAAAAAAAAAACATAAGTAATATTACAATTCTCCGCTAAGAACAGTATGTAAAAAGAAGAGACAATGAAGGAATATACATTATAAAACAAGAAGACATATATACTTGATAGTTGTAATTAGTTTAATAACAAGTTTACAACTCATAGATTTCGGGGATTTGCATGTCTTTGTCGACGGTGGTACTCCAGCTAGCTACTCGACAATCCCATAGTGATGTCCAACTGTCCGTTGAGAGAGCTCGAAGCACATAGGAAGAGGAAGAGTAGAGAAAATATTTTTTTTGGTGAAGGAAAGAGTAGAGAAAATGGATATGAGTTCTAGTGCTCTAGATCTGAAACAAAAAATCAGGACCACATTATAGAAGAAGATAGAGAAAGAATTGAAAAAAAGAGGTTTATGTGATTCATCGAGTGTTCCGAGCGTCAATGTATAAAAAGGCTTAAGGCGCACCAAGGGGATTAGATTTCCTAGAGCCTTAGGCACTCCTTAGAGCACCTTGGTGCGCCTCATTGAAGTGAGGCGCACCTAAGAAGTCATGGCAAAAAATCTGAAAGAAATCAAGGAAAAAAACATAAGTGCGTCTTTATGTTGCGCCTTAGAATGTAGTGCGTCAAAGACGCGCGCTTACCCCCAATCGCCTAGACGCGCCTCAGGCGCACGACACTGCCGAGTGTTACCACAAATTCTTCTTAAATCTGTCAACAGTCACATATAGCGGTGCAGTTTAGTCAAGGCTTTTTATGAGGTAGAAGAAAATGAATTTAACAACTGATAGGAAGTTTTCAAGAAAAACGATACTGGATTTCGAGGTTCATGTAGCAATGTATCATGGATTTTGAGTTTGTTACCAACTTTTCGAATCCAATTCAGCAAAATACTATCCACTTATCATTAAAATATTATAAAACGAAAGACAAGAAACAAGTAAAATGCATCATTGCTTCACTACAAGTGCAATGATCACATTTTCCTTATATCTCCTAATCATGTGAACTATAAAGAACATCAAGTCATAGTCTTAGATTTCAGTATTTGACATTTGCTATAATCACAAACTTACTTCTGGAATTAAAAGTAGTACTATCTCAAAGGCAAAATCATAATAATTTTGGGATAATAGCCCAGACTAGGCGTGTCCAGTAGATATTTATAAATTCTAGTCTCTCTATAATTATATTATAATTAAAAAAAAAAATTAGCCCTTAATTGACTCAAATAAGAATCATACGTCAATTTGATTCCTCAAAAAAGGAAAAAAAAAAAAAAAAAAAAAAAAGCAAAGCAAGAATTTGCGAATCACTATTCAGAATCAGGAGGTTACTCAAAGTTCTTGTTCTATCAAACAAGAGCCTCAACTTCCTTCCTTCGCTGCTGGTCTTCAATTCCTTCCTTCGCACCGGCGAAACCAGTCCCAACCACCACAAGGCGCCGACTTCAACGCTGCTAGTCTTCTGCCACCACAAAAATATTTGGTTCTCTCTTGAAGTTCCACATTGTCATTGGTACGATTTTCCTTAATCTCTTTGCCCTAGTATTTGGTTCTCTCTTGAATCAGGGGGTGTTGTTTGAGTGAGCACAGAAGATGTATCTTCATGTCATCTTTTTTTGTAACTATGGCTGGTAATAGCTGTGGGAGATTGCCTCAGCAAATGAATTTTGAGTTTTTTGACCTAAAATTTAGGGGTGCTAATAGAGAAAGAAGAAGTACCAACCAGAAATACCAATGTCATAACCAAATAAAGAGCCACCAGACCCAGGGGCAACTGATCCGGCATCTTCTTCAGCTGGTGTGGCATTTGTCAGACCATTCCTTCATAGATATGTTACTGCTATTCCGTTACCCTGAAATTACTCTCTAACAATATGAGATTCATATTACATTGCTATTCATTATCCACTTCCAAAGGTATAGAACTTTTTTACAATTAATTAATATATATGCGTAAACTTTTTATTTTTTGCATGGGCACACTCTAGTTTATTAATATTAAAATATGGAAACACATTAAAATTGAGTAAGATTACGTGTAAACCGGTTTTCCCGTGAAAACTGAAAACTATATATGTATAATCTAACTTTTCTTAACTCTTAACCTTTATCCGTTTCCATTAACCTTGCCGACACCAAACTCTCTATCCCTCCCTCCTCTGACTCTGTCTCTCTACTCTCTTCTCTCACACTCTCTCATCTCAATCTATCACTCGCTAGTTCGCGGCTTCATCTCACTCGACATTCGCTGCCGCTGCTTCCTCTCACTCGACAGCGACTTCAACAAACAAGTATCAACATAAAGTAATTTACTACTTTCTATCATATTATTATTTATATTTATATTTTTTGTTATTTTGGTTCATCTACCCAATTTAGATCTATTAGTGATGCATGGAAATAAAAAGTTTTTTATTTTTTTAATTTTGTTTTTAGGTAGATTTTAGATAACTGATTTGTTTTTTATTTAGTTTTTTTTAATTTTTTTTTTTTACTTCGTATTTGTTTTACTTCTTTTTGTTCTGATTTTGGGTGGGTTTTTATTTTTCTATATATTTATTTTTTTGGGTGGGGTTTTGAGGAAGAAGAATCCCCGTTTGGGTTCTCTTGTTTTCGTTTAGAGTAATTTCCTTTTTCTGTAATTTTTTGTTCTTGTTTTTGTTTCTTGTAATTTCTTTTCCAGTTTTTGTTTCTTATAATTTCTAATATGGCTAATTTAATTTTATTTTTGTTACCCTGTTATTAGTTCCTTTGGACCTTGCTAGAGATCATTAAGTATTCTTACCTTCGTTTTTATTAGTTGACACGTTTTGACTTTAGCACTATTCACACACTTCACTTTGACCATGTTTTGAGCTTTATACGCAGTGACGAACCCACATGTAAGCTAGGGATGTCAATAGAGCAGGGTGGGGCAGATGTTGGCCTTCCCATCCCCGTGGCGGGTCTAAAATTCATCCCCATCCCCTCCCCGGCGGATACAATTCCAAAACCATCCCCGCCCCAACCCCTACTTGGATATCCACCCCCACCTAATCCCCGCCTTCCCGATACACAATCCTTCATAATTAATAAAGATTGCAAAAAGAAAAAAATTATTGTTAATATTACACATTTTTTTGTTTATAATATAAGTGTATTACAAAGTATTATATTTACTATTTTATTTAACATAATTTTTTTATAAAATAGTATAAAATTATGTAATTTTGTTTTTAAAAATATATGGATGTGGGGTGGGGCGGGTACGAAGTAGGGCGGGTGGGGCAAGGCGGGGATGGAGCGGGTACAACCTAAAATCCACCCCCGCCCCATCACCCATGGCGGGTGTGGTTTTTATCTCCATCCTAGCTCCATCACCCGCCAAACCAAGACCCAACGGGGAGGGGATGGGGCGTGTCTCCTATTTGACCCGCCCCACTGATATCCCTACATGTAGTCATTGTAGGGTCCCGGGGCACACTATTTTTTTTTTTTTTTTTTAAAATAACAAAAATAAAAAAAAAATAAATTATTCCTGATATATTTTTCTTTTTTCCCCTTAACTATTTCACGGTATTCCTTCCTCTCTTTCTCCTCCCAGGACACAGTATCCCTTCCTCTCTCTCTCCTCCGTTGAAGCGTACTCGAAATTCTCTATTGAAGGGGCATCTGAGCTTTCTCTCCTCCATTGAAGCAGTCTCTAAGGTTAGATGCTTCTTTTTCTTTAATCATCTAATATAAATTTGACAATCTAGTGTTAATCGTGTATTTAATTGTCAGTATATACTCAATTAGGTTCTTCGAAGTTGGATAATTGAACTATTGGTTATAGATACTCGAATAATTTAACGTAATTTTTGGAGTCTAGTTTGATAATTGAGTCAAATTTGGACTTTTGGTTGCTAATGTGTTGCAGGGTTTGGTTTGTGTTATTGTGTAACTCTTTAATGTCAGGATGAAACCATGAAAATAGATTTGTGAATTTGTGATTTTGTGAATGGTTTCAGGGGTAGGGGCAGTGATTTCGGGTTGGGGAATTCAAGTTTTGGGTCAGGGAAAGGGGTGGTGGTTTCGGGTGGGGAAAGGGATGGGAGTTTAGGGTGGTTTCGGGTTGGGGAATTCAAGTTTTGGGCGGTTTCGGTGGTGGTGCAGGGGGAGGGCGTGGCTCTGGAAGGAGGGTGGTTCCGGGTCTACGGCTAGAGCTGGGGGTATTTTTTTGCCGATTATCAAATCGCTTTCGCTTTCTGCCGGGAGTTTGCCTGGTGGGGAGTCTAGGAAGAAGCTCGGATCTTACCTTATTATGACTCAATTTCAGGTTTGATTACATTGATTAACTCAATTTTATTTGTCTGGAATTTTGAGATTTGTGATGGTTTGTGGATTTTGATTATTAGTGTTAAGTTTAGTGATGCTTAAGACTTGTTTATTGAGTTTAGGGGCTGTTTAAAGGGTGATTTTGGATTGTTGTTCTTGATAGTGTATGATTGGATTTGGGTTGAGCTTTGTTGATTGATTGTATGTTTTGATTGGTTTGATTTTGATGCCATGTTAAGCAATGTAGTTTGGGAGATTCGATATCAGCTATTGTAAGTTTATATGATTTAATTGGAGATTGCAGCTTGATTGAAGAACATTCTGAGAACAGAAAGGTTTTTGATATTTTTAAGTATGGGAAGTGATTGGGTTAATGAAGTATAATAAAGTTTTGGTCTTGATTAATGGCTGTTGCAGGTGGGTTTCGGAATTTATGTCTTTTATGGTAAACTTCATTATATGGCCCATTTGACCGCAAGAAACGCTTTCAGCTTCTTGTTGTGTTGTTTGGGTGTAGAATTAAGAGTTGTTGGAGAAGAATTATTTATATGGGCTGGGGAGTGGCTGTCTATTTTTCCTTATTTATATGGTTCTATACTTTAATACTTTATACTTACATGTCTTAGTAGCAAACTGGCAAGAATTATTTAGATTGATTTATCAAATTCAACCTTTAACTTCAATTTCAGAATGAAAAGAAAAACTACTCGAGATATTTCAAGTTTTTTTACTAAAAAAGTGCCTACTCTAAGTCCTCCTCCTCCACAAAATGATACTCCTCCTCCACAAAATGATCTACCTTCTCAAGAAAGTGAACCAAATCCTCCTTCACTACAAGAAAATGAACAAAATTGCTTACTTTTTTGGTTGTTATATGAATTTGCATTACTTTATGAAATGAACTTTTTTATGTATTTATTTTTTGTTCATTATATAAGCTTTGACTATTTTTTGATATTATATGCGGTCGATGGACGATGATGGGACAACCTATTAATCAAATCTTGGATCCGCCACTGTTTATACGTAATGAAATATATAGTCACGTGCAATCTTGTGAGATTCGTCACGATATATATTTTCAAAATATCAACTTTTCATAATTTTTGCTTATCGGTAATTAAAGATATGAATGGTTGAATTTGTGCATTGGCAAACATGACTAAAGAAACAGAGGAAGTATTTTGTTTCCTTATATTTAAATTGTTTTACTGTGTTCGCTATTCTTAACTAAAATAGTGATTGAGGCCTTTAGGGTTTTAATTAAGTTTTTCTAACAAGGATTTTTTTTTATTTGTGTTTTGGGTTTTAGCCTTGACAATTTAAACCATGGCAAAGAGAAAGAGAGATAATGATGTTTTGGTGAAGATGGATTATTGCCCTTACCTTGATACGGTAAACAGGCATAATCTAGATTTTGATTTCGAGAAGCATTGTTCCAAGTGTTTTAAAAAGGAGGATGTTTATGCTTGTTTGGTATGCGGCAAGTATTATCATGGAAAGCGTTTCGACTCACATGCATATGAACACAGCCGCAACTATAAACATCATGTTTTTCTTAATTTACAAACGGAGAAATTTTACTGTCTTCCCGATGGATATGAAATATTTGACTCGTCTCTAGATGATATTCGTCACGTTCTAAATCCAAGGTTTGTTTCTAATATATTGTCCGTTTCAAATTAATAATACTCCCTCGTTCCACAATCATTTATGCATTTGAGTTTTTTTTTTTTTTTTATTGTGGAACGGAAGGAGTATTCAATGACCTATATATTTCAATGTGTATATTTAACTTATATGTTATAAGTTTTGTTTTGTTGGTGATTTATCTTTGATATTTTGTATTTGTAAAATCAGGTTTACTTCGGAACAGATTGAACAGCTAGATAAAAGCAAGCTGTGGTCGAGAGCTCTTAATTGTTCTTTTTACCTCCCTGGATTGGTATATCCTTTAACTTCACCTAAATATTACTTCCTCAGTTTTTTTTTTACCCGCTACACTTCACATAAAAATTACTTCTTTCGGTTTTTTATCCGCTACATTTGACCAAAATAGTGTTAAAAAAATAAAAAGGAAGAAGTAATACTTCTTTCTGTCTTGTTTAATTTTCTAGTTCCTCTGAATAACGAGTAAAGTGTTTTATGTAATAGTTTAAAAATATATTGTTTTCAGGTAGGACTTAATAAGTTGAAGGAAGCTGATTTTGCCAATGTTGTGATTCAAGCACTTGTACGTGTTACACCTTTGAGGAACTTTTTCCTAGTCCCAGAGAACTACAAACATTGTAAATCTTCCCTGGTTCATCGTTTCGGAGAGCTCATTCGAAAAATTTGGCATCCAAAAAATTTTAAAAGACAGGTATATTATATATTAGCATATTTTAATTTCAAAAACTTCAGTAGATTTGGTTATTTCAATTTTTGATTTACGAGTACTCATCAAACTAGGTTCGACGCTTCAGTTGGTAAATTTCAATATAAATGATTTCACTTGTAGATGCAATGAGTATAATTTAATTGAATCATTATTATTACAGGTGAACCCCCATGAATTTTTACAAGCTGTGATAAAAGATAGTGATAATCGGTTTCAAATGGGTGTACAATCTGACCCAGTTGAGTTTATGTCTTGGCTCCTTGATACTCTACATTTGCATCTCACAAGTTCAAACAACAATACAAGCATCATTACCCAATGCTTTCAAGTAATATCTCTATCTATTTATTTATGTACAAACTTGATACAATTGCATGCATGCTATTATGCTAGTATTATGTCTTGTCGCAATACATCTAATTGGTACTATTGCATGCTACTATGGTAGTATGTCTTGTCATAGTACATCTAACTTGCGAAACTCTCCCTTGGGTATGGGTACTAGACACATGTTCAAGTGTAAACTCGATTAATTAATGTAAAATCTCCAAGTAGTTTTTAAGGAATTACTCCCTCCGTCTTTTAATATCTGCTACATTTGACCAAAAAAGCTCTCACTTTTTTGGTCAAATGTAGCAGATAATATAGGACAGAGGGAGTAATTGTGTATATATATAAGGTAAAATGAAGAGTTTGAGCAACATGGAATTTAACTTAATTTTCACAACGTATGTACAGGGAGAATTGGAAGTTGTCAAGGAGATCCAAAGTAAAGGTATAAGAGAATATGGTGTTGCAGCTGCTGATGATGGTGCATCTGAAAATTCTAATGCTCACATAGAGACATTCACAGTGCCATTTATAATGCTTGACCTGGATTTGCCACCTCCACCACTCTTTAAAGATGCCTTGGAGAAAAATATAATCCCTCAGGTACGTATCCAATGCATATATTTCTTGCTCAAAGCCTTTGATTTATGTTGTCTGTGCTTATATGGTGTTGACGATTTGGAAATAACGAGTACTTGTTAAAAAAGATTGTTTGGTACAAAGTGTAAATGCAATTATATTCTAATGGTTATGCTTGTTGTTTCCAATCAATAATATATACCTTCTTTCCCCTTTATTTATAAACTTTGTTTTTTGATGCATTTTTTCCATATGCATTCATAATGTGCAGGTTCCACTTTTCAATATATTGAAGAAGTTTGTTAGGGAGACCATAACAGAAGCTGTGCATCCTCAAATAGCTAAGATGCAGTATCGTGTCACAAAACTACCACCTTACGTTATTATGCACCTACGGCGATTTACCAAAAGCAACAACTTTGTTGAAAAGAATCCTACCATTGGTATATGATCTGATCTTGTTATTGATATTTTCAAATCATTTTCTTCTTCCATCTTTTAGTGCAAAGTAGCCTGATTCAAAAAAATTTCTCGTATGATAGTTAATTTTCCAGTGAAAAACCTTGAGATGAAGGATTACATTGCTCTGAAAGATGCCGAGAAATTGAGGTCAAAATATGATCTAATGGCAAATATTGTCCATGAAGGCACGCCTATCCAAGGATCGTATAAAGTCTGCGTTCAAAGAAAGTCGGAGGATCAATGGTAATTTTCTTACATACATTATCTTGGATTCTAGAGTATTACGAATGAAGCAACTTGTTTTTTTGTAAATTTTTGCTTAATTTACATTTGAAACTTAAGGAGTAGTAGTCGAGTAGTATTCTTAATTTTTGACTCAGTCAGACAGTTTTTCACTTTCTTTTGTTGGATATTTTAACAATTGCAGGTATGAGGTCCAGGATTTGCATGTTTCAGAAACAAAAGCTGAGATGGTTGCCCTTTCAGAAGCATACGTGCTGATGTATGAGCTGCAATCAAATCTTTGAAAGCCACACGAGTAGAATAACAGTGATCACCTTAGGCTTAGACTTTATATTAGTGACTTTATCTTTTCAGTATTTTAAATTCCTTGTTTGATAACTTTTATAGTTTTATGTATGAAGCAAAAATTAAATTAAAAAAATAAAAGAAAAAGACCTAAAAGTTTTGGCTGGAAAATTTTCAATGTAATCGTGACAGTGCGACACGTGTACTCCCAAGATTTTATTTGGGAATTGTTTTAGCATAGGGTATAGATTTAGACTCATAGATTTTGTTAAAATTCTATTACTGTATATTGTTTTGTTAAAATTCTATCTTTCCTCTAATTGCTTATTTGTTTAGATGTGAAAGTATTGCGTCAGACTGTCTGACCCAATATGCTTAGACCAACTTGTTAACAATTCCCCCAAAACTTATCAAGTTAATTCGACAAACTTCATTCATTAGCAAAGTTTGCAGTGAAGAAGGCTTCTCCAAAACTTATCAAGTTAATTCAACAAACTTCATTCATTAGCAAAGTTTGCACCGAAGGAATGCCTTCTCCACTGATCGAACAAGGATTTATCTTCTTCAGATGTCCAATTTCCTTAGATGGCGATGACTCCTGAAACGGCGGCAAGACAACCCCGTTCCTGATTTGTATGGTAGCAGTTGGTGACGTTTAAGTGTAGCAAATGAATGAAGATCGTAAACTCGTAAGAAATTTAAAGTTAAACAACAATTTAAATAACCTGATCGAAGCTAATATATACTATTTCAATTGATAAGAGTATAATATAAAATATGGGCGCAAGTCTTTAATTGAAAGAAGCTAGCAATTCTAGACATATAGTACTTAATTAGTATATGATTGTATCTAATGAAATTTAGATGTTTAATATTTGCCATATTCAAAATGGGATTACATGCAATGGAAGGGATCCAATTAGTTTTAGATTAGGCAAAATCAAAGCCAGGGATATTGTGTTATGTGTTGAATTGCAATTGAGTTAGGTAAGATTCTTCAATTAACTAACACATTATTAGATTTCATTAGATGGTCCATCGAATATATATATAAACGGGAAGAATCCGCTGAAAACAGAGCTTATGGTGAAAACTAAAAACAAGCAATCTTAGTCATTTATGGTGTGAAACAACCCATAGGATAAGGTATATAGAATTTGTAACATTACATAAAGGTAACTATATACAAAAATAAGATAATTATATTAATTTGACAACATTTCATTAAGGTCACTATTAGGGGTGAGCAAAAAATATGGGTACCTGGTATTGGACCCGAAACCGGTTAGGAACCGGTGGGTCCAGACCCGAAATTGGATCATCCAAGACCAATTCCAAATCTGAATTTTAGGACCCGGTCTTAACCGGTTCCAATTCCAGTTCTTGATATTTTGGACTTGGTACCCTTTAGGTACCCGGTAGTACAATTCTGGATCCTAATTGTGAGTCTAAATCCAAGTTACCTAGCAATCTAATAAGCAAATTAAGCCCAACTCATTTAATTTAATACAAAGTTTGAAACATTACTGACAATTGCTATGTTTACCAAAACAAGAAAGAAAAGAAAAGAAAAAAAAAAAAAAAACCCTTAACCCTAATTTCTTACTTTACACAGCCGCACAATCACCCATTTACCCTCACATTTGCTTAACCACCCACTCACCCTTGTTTCCTCACCATTCAAGCAGGCAACCAACACCATTTTTCACATATTCTGTCAACAATTTTCCACTATTGGCTTCAAGATTCTTTTGGAATTTAATGTGTGGAGGATGAAATCGGGATGTGTGAGAAAGTGAAGATGATATGAGATAAAGTTTTGGTGGAATTTTGATGTTGAATCTATTTCTTGAAGTAGATCGTGAACCCATTATTCATTACCTTTTATTCTTGATTATTGAATTGGCTTCGATATTCTGTCAACATTTCTCTGTTGCTCAGCAGCATTTTTAATTTTTAATTTTACTATTTTGAATAAGACCTGGTACCCGATTTTGGAACCGGTTCCTACCGGTTCTGGGACCAATTCCAAGAAACTTGGATCTAGTATTAACCGGTTCCAAAACCAGTTCCAATTCTTGGGACGCGGTCATAATCGGTTCTGGACCCGGGTCTTGAGAATATGACCGGGTACCCGGTTTTGCTCATCTTTAGTCACTATATATAAAATTAAGGTAATTATATCAATTTGACAACATTTACACAAAGGTCACTATATACAAAAATAAGGTAATTATATCAATTGACATTAGTTACATAGAGGTCACTATATCTAAACTTAAGGTAATTATATCAATTTTTAAAACATTTACATTAAGGTCACTATATACAAAAATAGGGTAACTATATTAATTTTGATCATATATATTCTCATAGAAGTCACTATATACAAAAGTAAGGTAACTATATCAATTTGACAGCATTTACAAAGAGGTCACTATATTCAAAAATAGGGTAACTATTTCAATTTTGACCATATTTATGTAGAGGTCTAACTCACTATATACAAAAACTGAGATGAATATTCAAGTGCATGGCCAACTGCATGACTTTTATTTCTCTGGCAAACCTTCAAGTTCTTAGTTTGATGAGTGCTGCTAGTGCTACAATCATCATGGTTACTTGTACTCTCACAAGGGAATCGCATCTCCACATCAGTATCTTGCATCCTAATCATGACTGTGCTTATTTCAGCACCATCAACATGAGCATTAACAATGGAAGATCCATCATCTGAACTTTATCTATTTCTGCAATCCAGATCATGGGAACCATCTAATGATAAACCAGTAGCATTTAGTTGATTAGCTTTCAAATGACCAATGTCAACCAATGTTGTAGATCCTGCCCAAGAAAAGAGGATGGGAAAAAATTGAAATGTATATAAAGATATTTACATTTGAAAGTAGGGAGGAGAAACTGAAATATTGTGAAGGGTGAGCATACCAGAGGAAGGAAACCCCCTCATCACTTCCTCCCTCTAACTTACTGTTACTAATCACATAAATATTAAGAAGATTGGAAAAATCAGAGTGCAAATATTCACCAAATTCAATATAGAAAACAATTGTTGAACTAAACAATACCAGAATTATAGAAAATATATTGCAAATCACTACTGCCATTGCGAATTTCAGCCACCTCGCCACCCCATTTGACCCCAGCTGCCTCTGCACTCACGCTGCTCCACCTCACACACACCCACAGCAGCAGCTCACAACAATAATTCATCTCCTTCCCAACACCTGCACATCTCCTCTCACACGCACGATCCCAGCTAGCCGCCCTCGACCACGCGTTAATAGCTATGACAGCCACCAATTCGAAGAAAAGAGCAGTCGCGCCCCATAATTTCAGCCCAAAAATGTCAAACCCTATAAAACCAAAAAAAAAAAAAAAAAAATCAATCGGAGCAATCAAATAAAAATACTCTGTTCAAATGGATTTACAAAGGAACTTAACCATACAACTATAATCTTCAATGAATTGATCTACACAATCTAAAACAAAGTTACGACAATCGAAACATAATAGTGCTCAACTTAATTTACAATATATAATATGTTGCTCAATTAAAATGCAAATTCCTTAATTCAGACTATTCTCATCGTCAATTACTTTCCACATTACAAGTCAATTTAATAAAAATCAACAATCATAACTCAATAAATTTCTTCAAATTGAAAAACAAAAATCAAAATCAATCAAAAATTCCAGCAATAACCTAATTATTTGAGAAATTAAAAATTATAACAAAAAAAAGGAATAATAATGAAACCTGCTTTTGAAGGCAAAAAAGAGGCGAAGATCATGTAATATGGAAGGAGTATGAAGACGAAGGAGATCCAAAGCGGAGTCAATATCACCAGACTCTAACAGGGGGCGAATCCGACTAATCAGGAGGCGTGATCAATACGACTCAGATGAAGATGACGATGAAGAAGGAGGTGGAGGAGAGAGAGAGGAGGAAGAAAGAGAAGAAGGAGGAGAGAGTAGAAGAGTCTTCGTTGTTGAAGAAGGGGTTTTCGGATTTGGCGAATTCGATGACGAGAGAATCCAAAGCTTCCCAGTTTAATGGCGATGAATTCATGGCGACTGTGTTTGATTTTCCAGATTGTGAAGATGGAGAGAGGAATAACAAGCTAAAAAACAGAATACATACTGATGAATTTACTGCTGGCATTGCTACAACCGTAGAAAAATTCATAATCTCAGTCACTGATTTTCATGGACGGTGGAGATCGTATGTTTTCAGTTTTCACCCTAAGATTTGTTTTCACGTGATCCACTCCCTATATATATATATATATATATATATATATATATATATATATAAATAAATAAAGTGGCAAATTTTTTTATTTTTTTTTGACCGAAAGGTACTATCATGCAAGCAATAATAACATGGATGTCATTGCATGTTTTCGATCGATCTGTATACAATACAAATTAGCCTATTATGATCATCGAGTAAAAAGTCTACCATAAATCATAAATGTGTAGCTTTCATACAAGACAATAAATATTAGGAATTGAAGGGAGCATTTTAGTGTTCATGTATGCTCGCTAGATCAGAGAATTGAGATAAAATGTGTCGGTTTTGTCGGTGATGAGACCAAAATTATTCAGTGTTATGTCCTTATTCTTCATGTGTATGATGTATATGTAGGATATATATTGATTACGGTCTTATGGAACACTATATACTCCTTCAATAAGTCCCCTCAATAAGTATCAAAGGTTGTTATGAAGTTTTGCAAATCCAAACACTCCAAGGTTTTTTTAGTGCGCGCACGCACGTGCTAGCCATAGGCCCAAGGCCTGCTGACCAAGCCTTTGCTAGCACCATGGCCTAAGCACTTTGGGGTTATCCCTGATAACCTCACAAGCCCTAGACATGGTAGTGAGCTATTCTAGCCTCACTTGGCTCGTCCTCCTCAAACCGAGCGTGCACTTGCTCGCCTAAGCAAGTGGGATCCCGAAGGCCTTGCGCGCCTATGTGGGATGGTCGACGGCCTAGCCTAGGTCGACCGAAAGTGACTGTGACAGTAGGCCACTATCTTACCATCGAAATTTAATAGGGCAGAAATTGGAATGATGCGTCGCCGGCTCAAAGGCCGTGCGATCCGTCGAGTTATCATGAATCATCAGAGCAACGGGCAGAGCCCGCGTTGACCTTTTATCTAATAAATGCATCCCTTCCAGAAGTCGGGGTTTGTTGCACGTATTAGCTCTAGAATTACTACGGTTATCCGAGTAGCAAGTACCATCAAACAAACTATAACTGATTTAATGAGTCATTCGCAGTTTCACGGTCTGAATTAGTTCATACTCACACATTCATGGCTTAATCTTTGAAACAAGCATATGACTACTGGCAGGATCAACCAGGTAGCACTCCTCAATCGACTCTAACACGCATGAGCCCTCCCTTTGTCGGAGAGGGTCAATCAACTCGTGTTAGGATGTCGTTCGTGCTTAGCGTTAAACGCTTAAAAGGGTAGTGACGAATCAACGTTCATTCCCACTCAACATTCTGCATCCCTGGGCACAACTAGAGACCATATTCCAAGCCAAAAATGCTTTGCTTTGCCATTGTGGTTGGAGAACAGACCTAGCTACAGATGTCCACTTAACACCCAAATGGATGTCCGACGGAATTCAATTTTATAGGTTTGATATGAAGTACTTCCTCTGTCCCAAAATTTTTGTTACATTTGCTTTTTCGCGGTCTCCAACACACACTTTTGACCATCAATATCATTAATTTTATATAAGTAAAAATTATGAAATATACATATTTAAAAACTATACGTTATGACGAATCAAACAAGATCTCGATTGATAGGGTTTTAACACATATTCCCTTCGTTCCTCCAAATTTAGGACAATTTCCCCATTTGGACGTTCCTCCAAATTTAGGACATTCTACTTTATGCAATTTTGAGACACACTCTCTCCAATCTAAATTTGCTTTTTAGCCTTCCCCATTTGGACGTTCCTCCAAATTTAGGACATTTTACTTTATTCTATGTAGGGACACACTCTCTCTAATCTAATTTTGCTTTTTAACCCCACATTCCCTTCCTTTTTTTCACTTTCCTTACTTTAATATTTTTTACTGTTATCAAACCATGTCAACCAAAAGCTTAAACCGATGGTTGAAGCCTAGGAATATGTTATATTCTCTATCACTCCCCCTCACGTGAAAGACCATTTGGGATTGAAATGTGGATGCAGCACAGGTCCCCTCAAACCTGGCGCGAATTAATTCTACTTGAAAGGTGTGGGGAGAAGATTTGAACCCGTGACCTCTGCGTCACGCTGACTCTGATACCATGTTACCAAACCATGTCAACCAAAAGTTTAAACCGATGGTTGAGGCCCAAGAATATTATATATACTTTATCATTTACACACCCTCTCTCCAATTTATTTTTACTTTTTAACCCCATTACCATTATAATACATTATTCCTAATTTTTCACCCTAATATTTGAGGGAACGGAGAGAGTATAATAATTTGAATCTATGGTCAAGGTTATTATATTTTGACCAACAAAAGACAAATGTTGCAAAAATTTTGTGACTGAGGGATTAATACTTGAAACGACCCGCACACAATGGGCTATGCAATTTTTGTTAATATATATGCGTGTAATTAAGCTAATAATTAATGTATAACACGAGTTTTCTTTTCTTATTTTTTAATTTTTTTTATACGAATAACATGAGTTTCCTTTTTTTTTATTTATTTTTTTTATTATTATAGGAATAACACGAGTTTCCTAATTCCTACACATATTCTATCAAGGGCGATAGATATCTATTAAAGGAAGTTTTCTAAACATTCTACATATTATCACATAATAATAATAACATTCTCATAAACTAGTAATATTTTTGTACATAATATCCTTGTGTATTAATGGTTTCCTTAATTTTGTGTGAATATGAGTTGTCATAAGGTTATTCAAAACCATAATATAGTTGTCATATATTGGAGATAATGTAGCTGATAATGGAAATGAAGCACTGTCAAATGCAAATGCTGCTCTTACTACAACAATATGCTACAAGCCTTTTACTGTCAATTAAGCTGTAACAAATTAGTAAGTATAAATATTCAGCTCTTTCTCTCTCTGTAACTAACTAACTCCTCATTATTACAATTCAATAAGATCTCTCTTCTAAGTTTCTCTCTCTAAACTCATCTTTTTCCTAACATTTCTTGCTGCTTACATCTCAAGCTACTTTCATCTTGGTATCAGAGCTCTAAGAGAACGTTAATGGCGGATTTCTCAACACTGTCAAATGAGCATTTTCTCTCTCTGTAATTCCTCTTCTCTTCTCTCATCTTGTTGTCGTTCAACTTCAAAGAATCAAAGGTATCAATCTCAGTTTCTTCTTTTCTGCAACAACTTCACTCTCAATTCAGTTTCTTATATATCTTGTTGATAATTGATCTTAGATTCTTGTTGTTTGCTCAATTTCATTCTGTTAATCTTCGATATTATCTGTCAATTCGTTCAATTGTTGTTTCAATTGTCTTCTAATTTCTGCAATTGCTAATTCCTCTCTCAATTTCTGCATTTGCATCGATCAATTGTTGATTTCCTCAATTTTTTGTTCTTAATTTCGAATCATCTTCTTCGATTGCCTAAACTCTGCAAAATTCTTCATCATTAACCTCTTGTCATTTCTTTATGATCCTCATTTTCTATCAATTTGCTCACATAATCTTCTTCTGCCAAATTTTCACATAATTCTGAAATTAAAATCAAAATGCCTGAGAATTCAAACAATACTCACTTATTAAGGAATTGAAGGGAGCATTTTAGTGTTCATGTGTGCTCGCTAGATCAGAGAATTGAGATAAGATGTGTCGATTTTGTCAGTGATGAGACCAAAATTATTCAGTGTTATGTCCTTGTTCTTCATGTGTATGATGTATATGTAGGATATATATTGATTAGGGTCTTATGGAACACTATATACTCCTTCCGTAACGCAAAAGATGGCAACAATTTATTTTGCACGCATTTCAAGGAACACTATTTTCTTTTTCTTTCTTTTTTTGTGAATTAATTCAACTTCATTTTAATCCTACAGAAGCTAATACACCATGGAGAAATATGATGAGTTTGGTAATTTGACTACTGACGAATTCGGTAATGTGCTCAATGTGGCTACTGACAAATTCGACAATATGGTTACTGACAAATTCGGTAACCCGGTCACTACTTATCGACCTTCGGAATCAAGTAAGTCGAGTGAGTCGCTGAAGGTGGATACGCAGAAGAGTGAACTGAACTTTATTTCAAAACCACATTTGATGAGGAATGTCTGCTTTGTGGGTCAGACAGCCCATGGAAAAACAATTTTTGTCGATAATCTGATTGAAGTGAGTCTCAAGATTCCAGGCGTTGATGATATGGGAAGAGCTATAAGGTAATTAATTAATATCATCAATTTAATGTTATGCTTGATTTTAGCATGAATTCTGTTGGTTTTGACTTTCAAAACGTTGCAGCTTTGCTTGAGATCAAATTTTTGTTGTTTTTATGACGTTATCAGTTAAGGTCAAGTTATTGTTGTTTTTATGAGGTTATCAGGAAGTAAAGGTGTAATTTCTTAACTTCAGTCATTAAGGCTCTTAGATATTGGATCCTATTCTTTATGATGTTTCACTTGACTTGTTATCTAAGCATGGAGCTAATTATAGATTATAGTTGTGCTTTAAGACATATATAAACTTGCATCATTAATGTGTTTCATGACATACTTTGTTCTACCGAACTGGAGGGAAATATGAATGATGTTTGTTGCCATTACTGTTCACCTTCAATCCATTGCTATGCATCAATAGTCCTATTTGCATTGAAGGGAAGGGCATGGGCCACATGATGTTACAATATCTAAATTTTGATCCATTAGTTTTATGTGTCATATGAACTGTGTGTAGCTATGATCTCTAGATTATTGGATTGTTTTCGTGTCATAAAATGTATAATGACTGGTGAAGTTTTGTGGTTTCAATCACTTGAAGGTTTAGATTTTTGGGACTTTGGGAGAATTATCAGTTGACATGGAATTAAGGATTTGCTATTTAATCCGAGCTGTAGTTTCTTACTTCGTATTTATCATGCTAATACAGAACATGAGATTGTTATCTCAGTGTAATGTGAGCATGATTTATTGCTAGAATCTATTTTGTGGCTGTGGCTTTCCTTAAAACCAGTTATGGTTCCATGATGGCTATGGGATCTTGCAGAAAGATGTGGCTTAGGTAGATTATGTTACGTTTTGTAGTTAGTAATCATATGTTCATTTTCCTTTTCACTGTACTCTTGGGCATTTCTTCGTGGTAAATATCTCAATGCTTCTGATGAGGAGGGATCTGGACAAATGGACAGGTTTGCAATTTTTAATACTTATATGTGGTGCAATATGTTGCCGACTGCTTCGTTTGTCAAGTTATTAGGACTGATTGTGTCACTGTGCGGAGGCTTATTATACCTGGGCTAGCAGTTGGATCCTAGGCGTTTCTGTTTTGTGTGCATGAGCGTGCAGACAGGCTGACGTGTGTGTTTTGTGAGGATTTCACCGGGCTATCAGTTGCATCACTAATATTTCATTGCTCTGGGGATAAGCTCGTTTGTAAAAGTTGTTGATTTGAGGGAGATTTTTTATGGTAATATTAATATTAGGAATCTGGTCTATTGCTTCTGTTCAAGCCAGGGAATAATTCTATATCGTGTTTGTAACGTTCTACCCTAAAGTCCTGTGTTGGGTCTGTCTTAGTTGAGGTTGCAATTATAGGTTGGTGTTATGTATTCTATTCAAGAAGTAGATTACAAGATTTGGAGAAATGGTTTGAGGATTCCATCACAACAGGTATTCTAGTGCTTATAGTGTCAATTTCATTTGTCTTTTATCTTTGGGAATGGTTTCAGTGACAATTTGAAAGGTTCTTATATGGGCAGGGGTTTGTCCAATATTGTGTCATGTGTGTGGGTTTGTTTAGATATTTATGTATGAATTATGTGATATAAGTGGATAAGGCTCAGCACTTGGTGCCAAATTGCTGGCATTTGTAGCCTCTTCCTTGTGAGTGGTGAGTGCTGGAGATTATTGGGGTTTCTTTTCCCTTGTGGTGAGCGTGATAGTAGAAAGTTAGATTGCAGAAAGGCACTGGAATTTAGTAGATCGAGACGATCTGAGTTTTTTTTATATTAGTTAATTCTAAGGTAAGAACTCATTGAGAAAACTTATTATGCTTAGTTAAGGGGAATTCGAGCTATTGTAGTTAACGATAATGATTCATTGTTTAAGTTTCCAGAGGGGCAACTTTGAGGTAAGTTTATACATTTGTCAAGGTCTTTAGTGGTTTGTTCACGAAAGTGATTGTCTTTTGAGTTTAGTGATAGTTGTTTTATGATTACTTAATTTGTTTGTAGAGTTAATTGCTATGGTTGCATTATATAAGAGAATTATTATGCTATAGTTGTATTACATAAGAGAATTATTATGCTTTGCTATAGGAATTAGGAGTAAATTTCATATTTTTGTTGGTCGAATACAATAATGCTTTTTTGTTAGAATTCATTGCTGAAGTGACGTCTCATTATAGGATATCAAAGTATAATTTTTGTGGAGGTTTAGAGTTATTTCTAAGGGCAAGTAATTATGTTTTGAGTGTAATGATAGCAGTTCTGTCTTCTGAGATTACTTTTTCAATTTGAGCACATAATGTCGAAATTAAAAACCTGGAGGGAAATTTGTCATCTGTTGGTAATAAGATTCAGTGGTAATACAAGTTATTTGCCGGCGTGCCTCCAAGTTTAAAAGTAAATTATAGATTTCTAAACATATGTGATAATTTTTTGAGTTTGAGACAAGTAGATTCTAGGTTAAATATTCTGTTAAGGGATCTAATATCTAAAGTAGGAAAAATTGAGGGAAATATCTGTGCTTAGTGAATGAAAGTTTGAGAAGCTTTAGTGATTTTTTTTTTTTTTTTTTTGTGGGGGCAACTGTACATTGTTTGAACTCAGCCGCATCAAATTAAGCCAAACACCTTTGTGGAGGCTTCTGTTGAAATTTAAGCTGAAGTGATTCTATGTGAAGTTAAGTTTGATGATAGTACTATCATGGTTACTTATTTGCTTTGAGGACTTAGTTTTTATGGTAGTAAACTATTAGGGAAAGTTTTATGGCTTCTTAAAAAAACTTGAAGGAATTTGTTATAGCTTCATAGGGGCATCGAATTTGTTATCGTTTCATAGGAGCATCAAATCAAAGTGAATCGGAGCGTAAGATATTACCTTTTTTGTGTATTTAGTTAGTATCATTTTGGATTTATCTTTATATTAGTTTCGAGGTTACAAATATTGTTTGAGGACATAATTGCTAAGGTTGTGAAAAATATTATGCTTAGTTTAAAGAAATTCGACGAAATTGTTGATGATAATGATTTGTTGTTAAGTTTCATAAGTGGAGGGGCTCAAATTGAAGGATACCGGAAGGAAAATTATACATTTGTGATGATTTCTAGTGATATGCGAATGCAAGTGATGGTCTTTTGAAGTATGATGATAGTTATTTTGAGGTTACATAATCTATTTGAGGGGTAGTTGCAAAGGTTGTAAAATATAGGGAAATTTAATATGCTTTGCAAAATGACTTGGGAAGATTTTTGTATTAGTTAGAGTGCTAGACTAATGATTTTTGTTTAGTGTTCATTCCTAATGACATCATATCTAAGTAATCAAAGGATAATATACCTTTTGTGAAGATTCCTAGTGCTTTTTTAGCGAAATTGATTATATTTGAGTTTGATGGTAGTAGTTTCGTGTTATTAATTCTGCTTGAGGATATAAGTTTAAAGCTTGGAAATCTCGAGGGGAAATTATAAAGCCTAATTAATGAATTTGGTGGAGTTTCATGCTATATAAGTAATATAACAGTAGGCATTAAATAAAAGCAAATTGCAGGGTAAATTTTTACATTTATAGAAGTTTCTAATGATTTTGATTCATAATTGATTATAGTTTGAATTTGATGATACTATGATAGCTTTTATGAAGTTACACATTCTAATTATTAATCGCTAGGAATATATGTTGGAGATTTATTATGCTTAGTTATAGGAATTTGGAGGAAATTTGTGGCTGTAAGATGATAATAATTTACTTTTTGATTGAAGCAATCAGCTGGATAATGAAATTTGTATTTGTTGAGGTTTCTATTAAAATTTGAATGGAGGTTTATGCATTTTGATTTTGACGAGTATTTTCTTGAAGTATTATGTTTGTGGAGTGTGGACTTAAAAATTAAGGTAGGATAATATATGGGAATATTTAAATGCTTAGCTAAAGGGAACATGAGGATCTATTTGCCGATGGCTATCAAGTTTATGGCAATTAGAGGTTTCTCGTGATTTCTAAGCGTAAGCGATGATGATGAAAGTGTAAAGGTTTGTGAGGGATTAATATCTAAAATCTGAAACTATAATGGAGAGTTATCATGCTTTGTGAAAGGAATCTTTTAAGGAATTTCATATCGTTTTCAAGAACATATTACACTTAATTGTATTTTCTAATGCATCAAATAAACTTTTCATCCATCAATTATTTTGTCCACCATATTTTTCTCCTTTTCATTTAATATTGTTTCGAATAATGGACTATTTATTGCAATTACTAGAATTTATTTACTGTTTTATTTAATCCCCTCTTTGATTACATATGGGAACAACAAAAGTAAAAGTAGGGAGTACTATTTAGAGGCTTTTAGTGATCTGTAAATGAAATGAATATAAGGAAATATTAGAGGTGATCAAAATTAGCCCGACCAGGTTTTGGGCAGCATTTTTTGGCCCAAAATCGGGTTGGGCCCAGCCTGGCCAGATTTTTTTTTGGGGTGGGTTTGGGAATGCGTTTTTATGCATATTTATTTGATTTTTTAGGCCCGGTCCGAAAATGGCCCGAAAAGCCCGCACGGCTCGATCATTTGGGACGGGTTTGGACACAAAAATTCCGCCCCGAAGTTTGGTTCGGCCCGGCCCGAGAAGTGGGCATACTTTTTAGCTTCGGCCCGACCCGTCCAATGATCACCTCTAGGAAATATGCTGGATTATGTTGTTAATGTAGGATATATAAGGAATTATTCTTATACATAGCTAAAAGAAATGTGAGGATTTTCCTTTCAAGATATATTTGCTTAAGGGCGTTAGTTATAGGAAATTCAATGATCAACTATACCTTTTATTGACATTCTTGTGATATTTAAGCACAAGTGATTGTATGTGTGTTTGATGATAAAATGGTCATTACTTATTTGGAGGACTTAATTTCTAATGTTGGATACTAAAAGGAAAAGTTATGAAAGGAATTTAGAGGAATTTCATTTTTTTTTCCTAGGAGCATGATGATGTAAGACAAATGGAGGATGAAATATACCTTTGTCGAGGATTCTAGTGTGATCTTTATGCTTATGATAATCTAAGATTGATTTAAGTTGTATCAAGGTTATTTATCTGCTTTGAGGACTTAGTTTCTAAGGTAGGAAACTATGAGGATTGAGTGAATTGGAAATCATGACCAATATGTTGGCATTGTATGCCGAGATCATATTTACAGCTGATTCAAGGCTGGCTCAAGCCAGCTCTTTGGCAGCTAACTTTGAGGATAGAACTTTAGAAATTCAATTAAAATTGAGCGCAACTGATACTATGTATGCAGAGGCAAACAGGGAGAGCTTAGACGTAGAGAGAAAAACAAGATATAGAGTTAAGAAAGAATAATATGATATGTGCCCTCTGCATGCCGCAATATTGTGTTCTCGTGTCCAAATTGGTACTTGGTATTATTTTTCATCATATCTTCTTAATGTAAACAAATTCCGCAATGCTTTTTGTTACATCCATACTTTCTTATTATTCTCACCCGCGTGGGTTCTTACTTAGTTTGAGTATATGCTGTTCTCGTTGTATGTGTATATGTAAGATTTAAGCCAAATTTATTCAGAGTATATTTTATTTTACAGTATATAACGTGTGTTTGAATTGCTTAGGTATGGAGGTGATAGCGGTGGGTACGGTGTTGGGTATGGAGTAAGGTGAAACAAAATTGGGTTAAAACTGAACCGAACTGAATAAAAAATATGGTTCAGTTTGGTTTTGAAAAAAAAAATATTTCGATTTTCGGTTTAGTTTCGGTTTTAGAAATTGACAAACCGAAAAATCGACAAAACCGAAATTTCAGGCCCAGCTATGGAGTGATGGTGGTGGGTCTGGTAATAATGTAATATCACCAGTTTGACCCTATGCTATTCTCTTTGGTCTTAATTAGATATACAGATACTCGAGATGATGAAAAATACAGAAAAATGTCTATAAGATCTACCCCCATTTCATTGGTGCTAGAGGATCTTACTGGCAATTCTTATCTCATCAACATAATTGACGTCCCGGGACATCTAGATTTCTCTGATGAGATGACAAGTTCTTTGAGGCTCACTGATGGGGCTGTTCTGGTAGTTGATGCCTCTCAAGGCGTCTTGGTATGTTTATTTTCTGCACCGCATATATATTTATTCATTTATTTTTTAGAATTCTTAAAAGGACCTACTTATTTTTTTTTTTTTTTTTTTTTTTTTTGACGTTTTAGGTCAGCACTAGGAAGGCAATCACTCATGCTATTCAAGAACATCTTCCAATTGTTGTTGTTATTAATAAGGTATGTCTTTTAAGTTTTAACCCTTGCATTTCTCACCTAACTATTAGTTTGTCATTAATTCTTTATTAATGCGCTTACTGTACATTATGTAATGGAAAATGCTTATGGTATTGAAGGTTGATCATTTGTTCAGTGCGTTTAGAATGACCCCTGAAGAAGCATATAAGCACTTGGAGCAGCTTATATCATCCATAAATGATCATATTACTACTGAAGAGGGTGGGCTCCATGTAAATCCACTCACTGGCAACATATGTTTCTCCAGTGCATTGTTTGGGATCTCGTTTACCTTATCTTCGTTTGCAAAAAAACATGTAGCCAATTTTGGACTGAAATGTGATGCGTTGGAGTTTGCGTCTCATCTTTGGGGGGATTCCTACTATGATGCAGACAAGAAAGCTTTTATGAAGGAACCTCCTGCAGTTGGAAGGGAAAGGTGTTTTGTTCAGTATATTTTAGAACCCTTCAATAGGCTGCGTACTCAAGTTCTTGAGAATGATCAAGATAATCTGAAGAAAACACTCTTTGAATTTGGTGTAAGACTTCCTGATGAGACATTGACTATCAAACGTTTTGAAGATTGTCATCTGTTGATGAGGCTAGCATTTAGCTCAGTCTTTGGTAAAGTGACAGGATTCACTGACATGGTGGTACATCACATCCCCAGTGTCAAAGAAGCTGCCTCAAGGAAGGTTAATCGTATATATAGAGGCTGTAAAAAATCACTGATAAAGTCGATGTGTAATTGTGATAAAGCTGGGCCGCTTATGGTTGATATCACTAAGCTCTACCCAACTTCAGATTGCAGCGGTTCTTATGCTCTTGGTAGAGTTTATAGTGGTGTTATCCGAAAAGGACAGGCTGTTTGTGTATTGACTGAAGATTTTGAGGATGAGGGTGATATGGCCGAGGTCACAAATATTTGGTTGTACCAAGCGTGCTATAGAGTACCTATAATTGAAGCTTCACCGGGTTCATTGGTTGTCATTGAGGGAGTCAGTGATGGTATTGAAAAAAGTGCAACTCTTTGTGACGAAAAGGGTTTTGATTTTTTCATCCCGCCTCAATTCAACACACCTTCAGTTTTGAAGGTAGTGTTTGAAGCTTCTAACCCCTTTGAACTTGGGGCTGTCCTAACACAGCTATGCAAAACCTTTCCTCTTGCAACTGTTAAGAGAATAAAGTATTATGGGGGGATTGAAATTCAAGGCCCAGGGAAGCTATACCTTGACTCTATCATAAAAGAACTAAGAATTTACTCGAAAGTAAAAATAAAGGTTTGTTGGTTGTTTTCCTAAGTAAAATATCTGAGTTATTACTCTCTTTTGTTCTAACAATTCTCCTTTTTTTTTTGGCAGATTCTGCATTGGGCTGTGTTGTACCGTGAAACAGTGCTTGAATCTTCAGAGAAGTGTTTTTCTACAACTAAGAACAAGTGCACCATAGCCATGGTATTTATTTGGCCAGTTCTTGCATTCTTTTTTGAATAATTGGAAGATTTGTTTGCATCTAATTTGTAAATGTGATATAATCTAAAGATTGCAGAACCCTTAGATGAAATTGCAGAGGATCTCCACATGGGGTTAGTTTATTTCCCCAGTTCAAATATTTCTGTGCTTTATTCTGTAACCTAGAGCTTGCATCTATCTAATCTATAACTTTTAATTTATAGGATCCTAATATACTGTTAGATTGCACGCTTCCTGCTGAAGTTGATAAGATAAAGATGAATTCTGTGAAGGATGAGATTGTTAGGAGGTAAGTAAATAATTAAATATTATCTTCTGAAGTTGATAAGATTATTTTTCTGAATTACTGCATTTTTTTTTAATTTTTTTTTATCTTTTTTTTTTAAATTTTCTTCTGTGAAGTTTTTACACTGCTTTGAAGAACGGTCCACTCGATGGTCAGCCAATCAGACAAGTAAAATTCAGCATTGTTGATGCTGCTTTTCCTCCTGAGTCGTCGGATGCACCATACAGCCTCTCGATTTATGATCTCATTCATTCCACTCTTCTTCATGCAACACCTCATCTTATGGAGGCAATTTTTTATGTGGAGGTAATAAATTAATTATCCTGTTGCACTATTATACATGGTGTTGACTGTTTTTTTCTCATGGAGGCAAAATTTTGTGCTTGTAGATTCAAACATTTGAAAATTATTTGCCCGACATTGAGAGGTTTTTGTCCCGTGAGCATGGCTATATAACTGCTAATGAGGCACGACAAACCACCGCTGTTCGCTTAGTGAAGGTTTTTTAATTTATTTTCTTGTTTTTTTCTTTTTTCTGTTTATTATTAGCATGCTCATATTTATTCTTAATGCAATCATGATTACTCTAACTCTAATTCTAGGCCTTTTTACCGGCTCGTGGCTTGATTGATTTTGATGATGGTCGACTGCTGGGTACTAAAAACCAAGCAATAGCATGTTGTCTGTTCAGCCATTGGGCTGTAGTCCCATCACATCCAAAGTCTGTGGTTGGACGAGAATGGTTTGTAGCCTGACATTGTTTGTAGAGAAAAAAAACCAGTTGTGTGAACGTTGGTTGATATGATCTTGCCATTAAAGTTGTGGGAACGTTGGTTAATGTGCATATTAATCTCAATTGTACATAAACTCAGTTGCACATGTTTCAGATAATAAACTTTTCTTATCTGTCTCTTGTTTCTCTTTCTTTATTATCTAAATTCTCTTTCTGTTCTGCTCTTTAATTCTCTTCATTTCCTTTTTATTATATGATCTTTCCTCTTCTTCCGGCTTCTCTGTTACCAATACAGCCAAACAATCAAGATCACCCACTTCCTGAATACCCATTTCTACTGATTGCACACCACCTGTTTCTTTTGTTTTTTCCTTTGATGGGAATAAACGATTATCACAAGTGCAAGTGCACTTTCTTAGTACATGCTTCAAGTTTCTGCCCTACTAATGTTTCACCCTTCTTGAAAAGAGATTATAAGGATAGGGGATCATTGTTATTATGAACCATAGGTCTATTGAAGGGAAGAATGTTAGTGTCCTCACTGATTGTTTATATGTTTTAGTGAGGATCTCCATTAGCAGATATTTGCTATTTTAGCATTTGAAATGTCCATGTTAGCTACTCACTATTGAAAAGCTCATACTGATTATCAATTATTCAATAGCTGAGAGAGGTGATAAATTCAATAACTGATATTATGAAACCATTAGCTAATATCCAAATTAGAAGGCGTTTATAGTTTTGGTGTCGTTTGAGTGTATGTTCAACTAAAAATGTCCATTTTTAGTTGCATGTAAAGTGTTTAATAAGATGTCCAAGTGATTAATCTTTTGTAGTGGGCTACTTTGGGTTGCTATAATAATGACTCTTTGGGGCTGTAATCATGGCTTAATAGTGGTTGTATAAATGGTGAATGATGGTTCTTTGGTGGTTGAAATGGAGCTCCTTAGTTGAGCTATATAGGTGTAAATGTGTGGGTGTTTGGAGATTGTTGCAAGCTGTTTCTTGTTGTACTTGTGGTACATTGATATCGTTGGGAGCAATTTATAGGTGGTGTTTGGACTGCAATGGTGGAATTGGTGGTGATTCGTGGTGTTGTGCGTGAGGGGCCTTTAAGCAGCATTACGGTTGTTTAATGGTATGATGTTTGTACTTGTAGAGCACTTTGGTGCTAACTAAAGATAATAGTGGCTGTTCTACAGCATATTAGAATTAGATTGCAGGGTATGTTAGTGGATGGTAACTTGCAAAATATAGGTGATATTCCATGCTTAATTTTTTTCCTCTATCAACTTCAATGTATAATATCAATACTTGAATACAAAGTAATTGAGATTATTAAGTCTATAGCTGATATGCACAAGGAGTGCTTATAAAATAGGACAGGCTAAAATGGCATTTGTTTTACTTTGGTCTAAAGAATTCTAATTGTTGGGTTTATTTCCTTCAAATTAGGGAGTGGAAGCTTTTGTTGCATATTATTAGGATGGCAGTTTGTTGTTAGTGGCACCATATCAGTTTGTTGTTAGAGTTGTTCCACCTTTTAAGTAGTTGGTCAATCTTATGATGAGATCATGGGATGATTTCCTAAATTTTAGCTTTTACTGTTATTTTCTATTAGTATAAGATGTTGCCTTGTACTTGTTATTTTTGGTGTGGAAATATTATTCAGTTTTGTGGAGTATGTCGTTGTTTTCTTTTCCTACCTTTTTCTTTCTCTACTCAAAATATAATTTAACACTAATATCCATAATACATTCATTTCATGGCTTTGCACATTGAATGGTTTATAGTAGAGCATAAGAGTTATGAAGTATTAGTTTTTGCTTTGGAAGCAGCTAATTGTAGGGCCATGGTAGAGTGAAAATTTGCATTGACATTGAATTATTAGGCTTTGTAGGATGATTCTTTGGTGGCTATCCTAAGTGATAGTCACCGAAGCCAATAAAAGTCAAATAAATCTCATTCATTAATTCTTACACACTTTTTTTTTTTTTTTTTTTTTTTTTTTTTTGCAAATGAGCCACAAGGGCAGGTACATATTTACAATGGGAGAGGGGGGAATATGAGGATTCGAACCTCTGACCTCAAGAATCAAAGGTGGAGTTGAAGCCACTGCTCCAAACCCCTTCCTCAATATACATGTATTTCCTATACACATTATGTATAATATACATGTAATTTCTCACTTATTTAATACCTTGTAGCAGTTAAGTATCTTATAGGAATACATATTGTTTCTTTTCTCTATTAAACTGACGTTATTTTGTTCTTGGTTTCCATGGTAGGCCTTGTAACCACCATGGAAGATTTGATCGCCATTGTTGATGGAAAGTCGTTTATTGAAGATAGTGATGTTGTATTCGTTTCTTTTCATTAGTTATAATGTATTTATTATGATTGAGTTTAAACAAGTCTTTGAATTTATTGTGATGGTGATCAAATCTTTTAGAATGATGTTGATGCTAAATTGTGTATATCACAATTAATCTTTTTGTAATGGTTTGATTTGTTCAATGGATCAGATTTTAATTATAGTTGTTTAATTAGTTCATTAGAATCTTATCATCAATGGAGTTTGGGATTGAAAAAAAATAAATACTTTTTTTGTTGTTGCTAATATCATCAATGGAGCTTTTGGTTACGGTGGATAAGGCATAGAAAAGAATGAAGAAGAAGGCATCACCCATGTTATATAAGAGATGAAAAAGGGAAAAAAAGCAATTATCTTGGGATTGTCCAAAATTAGGAGAATTGAATACGGTGGTTTTTTTTAGGGTGGTGGCTGGGGGGATGGGGTTCCTTATTGCCTGAGGTGGAGGTGTGGTGGGCGGAGGTCTGGTCGGAAATGCCATTCATGGAGGTGTGGAATTGAAAGGGAGGAAGAAGATGAAGAGGAAAGAAAAGAAAAAAAAAAAAAAAAAAAGCTCATTTAAGTGGTCACATGCACAGCACGTGATTTTTTTTGGCCGGAAAATGTTGGTCAACGCCGGAGTTTGGTCAAAGGACCCTCCTCACAATCCAATCTCTATAAAAGGACCTTTAGTGCCACTTTTTTCATAAAAGGACCTTCCTTACAAGGTCGACCACTGAAAAGAACCTTCCTCGCAAATTTTCCAATTATGAATGTGGTAATATACGTATTTATTTGTAAGGGACGGATGAAGTATTATTTTATACATATTTAAGGTGCTGTTTGGCAAAAGTAGCGGTAGCGGGTAGCTTTTAGTGGTCGAGTAGCTTGCCAAACGCTACCTATTTACGCTACCTTGCCAGACGCTCTCAAATTTTTTCTAGTTTTGTTTTGACTAGTCAAAACGCTAACCGTTACCTCAATCGCTACCACCAAACAGGGCCTAAATCAGTAACGTGGATGATTCTTATCTCCTATTTAGACGTAATCATGTACTTGAATTGGTGATCAGTCATTGCCTCATTGGTGGAAGTGCCCCTATAATGGAGAGCAATAGAGCATCTTTGTATACCAAAGACCATGGCAAATCAATCTATGAAACTATTTATGTTGTTTAACTCATGGATCACAATTACATTCAACATATACTACGTAATAATCTTTAATTAGAAACCCTAAAGTATATAATACGAAGTATGATTTTACAAAAAAAAAAAAAAAAAAAAAAAAAAAAAACTTTACAATATAGTGTACTCATTTCTACCTTCTCTCTATCATTTACTTTAAGCTGCGCATGTGGAACTAAGGCACCGGTCTACTGGAGACTTGCATCTGAAATCAAATTTGGGCGTCCTCTAACTCAGATTGTAGCATAAACATTAATATTCCACCTGCCACTGCGACATTAAGAGACTCAAAATTATCAGCCATTGGTATGCTTACCAGTTCACAGAATTCCCTTGCTCTCTCCGTAAGACCGGTACCCTCACTGCCTAGAAGTAAACATAATGGCATATCAGCCAGAGAATGTGCAAGCCTTTGGGACAACTTATGAACAGGCTTGAATCCGTTGCTAATAGCAGGGTGACCAGCAAACATCTTCACTTGAACTTCATTGCTAAAAGCTTCAAGATGTGCCCAATTTCCCGAAACTAGGGGAATCTGAAATGGCGCACCTCTGCTAGCCCTGAGTGCCTTCTCATTGAAAGGATCACAGCATCCAGGAAGCAGAAAAACACCATTCTGTTGAACATGAATACAAGTGTTTACATATGTTCTTCTATAAGTTAATGCTGTAGTTCCTATTTTCCTACTAGTATTTAATCAAAGAAAGAGTACAAAGTTTTTTTTTAAAGATTTCAGTCGTACATCTATGATCTAATCAAAGAATAAGAATCTGATTATTGCACAAAAGTTCAGGTAAATTGGAAGTCTTAAAATGATAAAAGCAGGTTGGTTTTTCAATTTCATTCCTTTGGCATGACGAATTAAAAAACTATTCATGACCAGCTACATGATACATCTATAAAGTGTGAAATGGACATTGCTAATGACATGCACTGTGAAATATTCACAATTTCTCTTTACAACATTTAAACCTTTGGCAACCCCACAAATAAGATCTAAAGCTAGAAGCACAAGAGGATGCAAAGTCACTTACCCATTTGAACGCCAGGGCCGATCTAAGCAGAGTACCAAGGTTCCCTGGATCCTGTGTCAACCATCAAGTTACAAAAGAAGATTACTACGTAGTCACTAATCAGACAGAGAAAACTGCACATTGTACTTGATAGATTGAATGGTAATACCTAAAAAAGGCACCATGCAAGAAAACTTAAGGATACACACCAAGCCAACCAAACACACTAATATAAAGATCATATAGTGATTTCCTAAGGCAGATCATATAAAGATCAATTTGAAATGGCAGAATTTAGAGAAAGAAAACAAAAACACTCTGAAATCTCAATCCATTATCGCGATTCTTGAAACAGGGTTGACAGTAGTTACTCTCAGACCTATACCATATGCACATCAAGAAACACTAAAAATTATTCATGCACAAAGAATTCATTTTACACCATATAAATACATCAACAGGCTCACCAAAATCCCAGTTATTGAGTAATTCATTTTGATATATGACCGGTTTGAAACTTAAAAGACAATTCAACTCTTGATGAATGATTCTAGCAGATAATAATGATTATCTAATGACTTAACCAGGACAGGAAAATGAGGTGGAATTTAACACATTTATTGAAGGAGGATGTAGATATTTCAAAGACTCCAAGTGCAACAAAAAGATTCCCTAGTAAACAAACTAAGAGAGCAAGCACCAAAGAAAAACCTGTATCCCTTCAAGGACTAGAATTCGACGAGTATCGGCACATCAATGAAAACCCCAAAACATCATAGTCCCCAATCAAAGACCCCATTTCTCTTGGGCACAAGTTTTTAGGAGAGAAATTGTATCGAGGTATTGTTGATTAACATTGGAAAAAAAGATAGTGGGAGTAGTTTATTGTTTTCAAGGGAGGTGAGAGAAACTACAGTAGGGTTGGTGGGATTTTGCTGATTGAAAGTGAATAAAAAGTTAAAGTGGATAAGGGACTCCACAAATGGGGTTTTTAAATGGGACAAGAGTTTGAAATGGAGCCTTTAACCTGGGATGGAGGGAGTAGTATGCTAGCATGAGTTGTGAACCAAGTGTTAGTGTGAGGTTTTGAGGTTATTATTGTTTGTTTGATAATCTATTAATGTTTGATCATCCAGCATCTTGAAGCTGGGAGGGTATTTTTGGTGAAATGTATGAAGTGTTAGTGTGAGGTTTTGAGGTTATTATCTTTCACTCTTCACCTGCAGCTTCACAGCCACCTGTTTCATCATCCTTGCCACCCATTACTCTTCAGCCTTCATTGACTCTGCAGCGTCCATAGGGTGCTCCGTTTCTCCAACCTTACCCTCCACCAGCACCATCGCCTTTTCTTACACCCCCACAGTGCTAGCTGCTGCACCAACTCATGGACCTGTTATTGTAAGGGGGAAGAACATAATATACATTGGGTGGCATGGAGAAAGCTTAGTATACCAAAATGTAATGATAGGTTGGGTTTTCGGGAAGTTGCAGTCTTTATGACGCAATGCAGCTTGCCAAACAATGCTGGAGACTAATGTCAAACCCAAACCTTCTTGTTTCTCGTATTTTGAAAGTCAAGTACTTTTTATGATAGCTTCTTGAATGTCTAAGCTAGGAAGTAAACCTACTTATATTTGGAGAAGCATTTACAGTTGCATATAGGTGGTTGAGAAGGGTACCAAATGGATAATCGAGAATGGTAATTCGATAGATATATGGAACAATCCATGGATCAACAAACCCCTTTCTTTTGGAGTGATATCTTCACGAAGGGAGGGAAGCAATTTCTCCAAGGTGGCTGACTTAATTTGCCTTAAGTCAGGTAGTTGGAAAAAGAGTTTATTTCGTGGGAATTTTTTAGCATTTGAAGCTGATGAGATCTAAACATACCTCTGGTGTTAAGGGAGTTTGAAAATGTTTTAGCTTGGAGTTACACCAAGAATGAGAGGTACATTGTGAAGTCAGGCTATAAATGTATTCAATTTATTAGAGGAGTGGAGCAAGGGACAACAAGTTCCTCTTCTATGAATGATGTATGGTAAAAAATTTAGGACTTAGATGTTACTCCCAAAACTAAGATGTTTATCTGGAGATTGTGTAAAGGGGCATTGTCAACTATTTGGGGTTAAATTGCCGAATCGAAAATATTTCTCCTTGGTTTCTGTAGACATCTACTTTTGGCCTCCTGTCCCGCCGAACAGCGCAATGACAATAGCAAAACCAACTTCTCTAGACTCGGACAACGTGGAGCTCTTATGGACTAAGTGAGTATGAAAAGATGGACTGTGAATCCACAAAGCCTCAATGCAAACCTAGTAATTAAATGGAGCTAGCCCGAACCGCGATTGAGGCCCTGAAGATGTACATTTTCTAGCCCTAACGCGTGTACGGATCATGGCACTAATCAAAGCAACGCTTAAGGCCCAAAAGCCTTCTCGTTGTTTAAAATTGCGCGCAGCTCAAAAGACTGCGTGCGCCATGTCAGCGCAACCCTCGAGGATGCGCGTAGCAGGAAAGATAAAAATGGAAAAACGTGTGGATGAATCTGGACGATCTTGGCCAGCGCAACCCAGCATGTTGCGTGTGCCATCTGCGCACAATCCTGAGACTTGCGCACGATTGTTCAGCGCGACAAGCCCAGTTGCGCGCACATTTTCCTCCGCGACGCTTTTTCTGGAAAACCCTAGCTCTCCCCATCTATATAAACAGCCCATTCCCTCGTCATTTTTCATCAACAATCATTCACAACACCCCCTCTTCTCGGAGCATGGCAAAACCCCTCCAAACTTCTCTTCTCTCTTAATTCTTCTAGCCTTCCCACCGTCAAAAAACGCTTCCCGAACGCTATAAGAAACAAGAGCGAGCGAGAAAGACGAGAAAAAGTCCATAAGTAGGCGAAACGCTGCCCGAACGACGAGAATTGGTACGCAAACCTAAGCACTATTTAATTCTCTTTTCTTTCGTTCTTCGTTCTTCATTCTTCGTTCACCACCTAGTTTAGATTCATGTTTTAAATAACTTAATCGGAATTATTTGATCACTTAACATAAGATATTCCTTAATTTACATCACTTTCTTTTCAAGTAATCGGATTAAACAAGAATAACGACTTGGTACAATCTCGTGTTCCCTTCGTGTTAGTTGTAAATAAATGTACTAACCAGTAATTAGGAATCACGTTGCATATTTTGCCTAATTATGAAATTGTAAAACGAGAAGGGCTAGTAGAGGCCGCATTAGGGCTAGGATGATCGCTCTTAGTACGACATTCTAGTATCCTCGCTCTCGAACCCATCTCTGGTACGGTTCTACGGACTTTAGGTGGGCGATCCTTCCCTAAGGGTTGAAGGGAAACCCATGC